CTGGTATGCCCAGTAATCTAAGCCACGTTTTCGCCAGGATCTAGATAAGGAGAGGACCTGGGCAATTCTCCTTTAGTTCCTAATCAGTCAATCCTCCCCGAGAGCCTCTGAGTCCTTCATCAAACAGACGAGATCCATTTTCTTGGTGCAGCCAGTGTGTCTTGGCAGATGTGAGTCAGCATCCTGTTCGGAATGGCCTCTTGGTTCCCTGCCCGTGGACAATAAAGACATTTTCCACGGGTGCCAGATGCTGAGCTGACTCGGGGATCCTCCCGCAGAGGAGGAGGAGGAAACTCCAGGAGGATGATTTTGTGGCTTGGGATTCAACCACTATTTTAGACTGCCAGTGTTCTTTATGTTTTAAAAATACAGCGGTGGTTTAAGGAACCCATCACCCCCGGCTCCTCTGCGTGAGCCCCGCCATCCGCGGCGCCTCCCTGTGGCCTCATGTGGTTGAGGTTGACTGGCCCTTGGGACGGCGACTGATCTTCCCAATGCCCAGCTCAGAGGGCTGGAAACAGTCTGTAGTTAACCGATGAAGGCAGCCAACCGTTCTCATCCAAGGCATAAATGCTCACAGACTTCATGGCCCTAGTTCCCATCAGGAGCCAAGGAAGTTTGTCTTAGGTCCTCACCAATCTTGAAACTCTTAATCTCGATTCGTTTTGAAGATAAATTTCTAAAAAGCTGCCTGGACCACAGGATTTCTGTGTTCTCATCTATGTTCTGTGTGATTTCCCTGCCTAGCTCCCTGTGTGCCCGGGTGAGCCTTTGCTTGGAGCACTTTGTGACCTTCTACCTCAAACACAAGCACGGTGGGCTAGGAAAGGAACGTTACCTGGATTTGTTGTTTTCTCCTGATGCTTTTGCCCGAGCCACACAGTTTTGTTTAGACCCTGGGCCCTTCCACCCAGCAAACACTTCCCTACACACTGGAACGTGAGCCTTCTAAATAAAAAGTGCAAATGCCTCCTCCCCCAGGCATCTGCGCCTGGGTTACCTTTGTTAGAGCTTTCCCGGTGGACTGCACTCTGCCCATTGTTGATGGTGATTGTGCTGGTGTAGGGAGCCGGGTGTCCAGTCCTCATCTTTCAGCTGCATCCTGGGCAGGAAGGGTGAGTAACCGGATGACCCTTGCAGCTTCCACCTGTCCTGGACTGTTTTCCACAGGAATAACAGTCTCACCCATCATGATGGCAGATCAGGAGGAAGCAGCAGTGCTCTGAAGATAAGATGCTTAAGTTCCACCAGCAGATATGCGTATTCTGGTGTTATGACGTGCCTGGAGTGCCTAGGAGTAGGCAGTTGATTCTGGGCTCCATGGTTCTTTCATATTTCCAGCTCATTTTGAAACTTGCAGACACCAGTATGGCAGAACTGCCTGACATAGCTGAGATACTCATAAGGGGGAGCGGGTTTCCACTTGAAGAAATATCTCCATTTAATTCCTCCGAGTTAGCATTTTTGTCAAGCGCCAGAGTGTTTCCTGGCAAGGCGTCCCAGCCTGTCAGGAGTTGCATCGCAGCAGGCTGTGTGCTTGGTAAATAATTTAGGTAAAATGCATTTAGATTTCTTCCGGCCACAGCAGCGGCTGCCTGCTAGGTGAGATGCAGGTTAACTACCCAGGCTCTTCATGGGGATTTCCAGTAGTTGGATTGAATTCCGACTCACTGAGCCGGTGCTGTGAACTGAAAAGCCATAGTCGGATTGACTTAAGAGCATGACTGCACTGCCGTCTGGGTGGCAGGCTCTTTTCAGGGGTGGTTTCTTCCCTGGGTTGTTGGGACAGAGTAAACATTTCTCTCCCGAAAATTATAGGCGAGCCCGCACCTGACAGAAGTAGTTGGTAGAAGCGTACTTGAGAGTCTTGAGCGTGGGCAGATTTCTAAAGAGCTTCCAGTCCGCTCCTGATGCTCAGCCATGTGATTCTTAAATTATCTACAGGGAGTGGCTGAAATGCTGCTTCCTGGGTCCAAAGTCCCAGAGAGCCTTTACTCAGTAGGTCTCAGATGGGGCCCAGGGGACTGTGATTTTAATAAGTGCTCCATGGGATCCTAATTCAGGTGGGCCTGGACCACATTCCGACACAAACGTAACTGAGTCTGTTCCGAAGGGAGGACTGTTTTTTATGGGTCTGTGTTCTTGGTATGTGTTCAGGTCAGCAGCCCCTATATTGATTTAAGAAACTATTAGAATTGAGGTTAGAGGATATAACTGAATTTTGCTGTTGTTCCCCTGCATCTTCATACTTGGGTAAGAAAGATAAGTATAAAGAAAAAAAAATGTACATAACAAGTGGTGTTTCTGATTTAGAGTTAGAACCCCAGAACAGAGACAGAGAGAGCACACGTGTGTGGTTAGGCATGCATGCAGGTGCCCGTGCCCAGACCCACATCGCTAAAGTAGCCCTCGGCTTCAAGGAGTCTTTGAATAACTCTATCCTGTCCATATCTGACTGAATCTAAATATGTGAAAGCTTGATTTGGTCTGAGAGTGTTTCGTGGAAGCAGAACTGGAGGTCATTGTGCAAGCTCCTTACCTGTGCAGGTGTGGAAACTGAGACCCACGGAGGGCAGATGTTCACACAGGTAACATTTGCACGGCAGGGCCTCAATATCTGAGTTACACTGTCTTCATCTATTGACTAGGAAGAGCAATAGCTCTCCCCATAGGTGTTTGCATAAGACAGGTGTTAGGATGTTTTAGAAACCAGAGAGAATTTCATAGATCGGGCTCCTATTTATTTTTCACATCGTGTTTTATTAATTAATGTATTTTGAACCATGTCAGGAATCTGTTGAAGTGAAATCACTAGTTGGTGTTAGAATAATGCATGCATGTCACTCATACATAGTATATTAAAAACAAAAACACCTTTTATGGTCATTATGGTGAACTTGGAATATATATATAAAATGAAAAGAAATAGAATTTTAAATCATCCATAATTCCATCACTCACATGACACTTAAAATTTTGGTATAAAGGTTTTTATATTTTTTCTTATACATGCATTATGTATCTTACTAAAATTGGGTTATACTGGGTATACTGTTTTGCAGTCCTTTTTTTTTCATTTTATATTTAATATACTGTGAGCATCTTCCCATGTCAATTAATATTTTATTTATTTACATTTTAAATGTTTTTATTGATTTCAGAGAGGAAGGGAGAGGGATAGAGAGATAGAAACATCAACGATGAGCTGCCTCCTGCACTTCCCACACCGATCGAGCCCACAACCCTCACATGTGCTCTTGGCTGGAATTGAACCTGGGATCCTTTAGTCTGCAGGCTAGGGCTCTATCCACTGAGCCAAACCAGCTAGGGCTCAATTACTACTTTATGGCATCATTTTAATTGACTGTGTAGTATTCCACCATATGAACAAAAAAACATTTATTTAATCAGTCTCTTAATGGGCATGGGTTTTTCCTCCTTTTATTTTTTGACATTACACACAATGCTGAAACACTAGTAAGCATCTCTGAAACTGAATCTCCCAAACAGCAGTTGGGTTTCTACGTTGACACTGGCTACTTCAAATACCAGAGCTAAAATAACAGATGCTGCAGTTAACATAACTGATTCATTTATTGGTATGAGCTCACTTTTATTTTTTTTTATACCCAGAAATTCTAACTCTGTTTTTGACCTTTCTGACATGCTTGAGAGTTGAGGAGACCTCTGTCAGTCTGCTCATTGACTGCCTCAGAGCACCCCAGTTCTGACCTTCCTATGGCTTTGGGACTCCTGGCTGCTTCTGGGCCAGGCTGCTTACAGTTGGCATGTGACCTTGTGCGTATAACTGCTCTGCTCTCTCACCCAAGAAGTACCTGTCCAGTTATGGCAAAGACTCCATTAAACAAAGTTCATATTGCAATCAAGAGAGAGAACTTCACTCTCTGAATCCTTAAAATTGTGCTTTCTGAAGGTAAATGGCCTGTTAGGAGTATTTCTGACATAAAATGGGAAACTTTCATACACCAGAAAGCATTGCTTATCTGTGTAAATACACATGTTCCAATTAAAATAGGCGCTAAAATATTTCGGTGGCACTTCAGAACTCCCAATTTAGATTTAATTTAGATTAAAACACTTATTCTTTTTAATAAAGTTATAAAATTGATTATTAAAATTGCCCGTTGAAGATGAAAAGCAGTGGAACATTTATTTTCCTTACAAAACAATTTAGTCTTCAATAAGTATGATTATGTTAATCAATTATGCTATTAAAATACAACTGCCATATTAAATATGACTCATTTGTCATGACAGCTCCTATAATTATAGAAATTATACCTAGCTGCTTATACAGTCATACTCCCACAATAAATATAAATAATTGTCTCTATTAATTCGGTTCCCGGTTACTATCTATTAAATCCTCAGTTAAATGGCAATTTGGGGACCTTCATTTAAAATCCTCCTACCTCTTTGTGTTCCATCCAACTGCCAGAACCCTGTAAATGCACCTCCTACTGTTGATTCCAGAAGCCTATTTATGAATCAAATAGTTTTTTAAAAAATAAAAATATTTAAAAGGACCACTTAGGCTTGAGATGTGAAGTTGTCAGGGAAAAACAGAAAAGGGGGTATACATATTGGGTGGAGGGTGCTGGCAAAAAGAGAGAGAGAACGAATTTTGATGTCCTGGCATTTTTTTTTGGAAAAGAGTTTTTATTTTAAAAACTCTGTTTAGCCAAAGCTGGTTTGGCTCAGTGGATAGAGCATGGGCCTGCAGATTGAAAGGTCCCAGGTTCGATTCCAGTCAAGGGCACATACCTTGGTTGCAGGCACATCCCCAGTAAGGGGTGTGCAAGAGGCAGCTGATCGATGGTTCTCTCTCATCGATGTTTCTAACTCTCTATCCCTCTCTCTTCCTCTCTGTAAAAAATCAATAAAATATATTAAAAAACAAAACCTCTGTTGAAAAGCTTCTATATAAGCCCAGAGGATTCGTGTATGTGGGTAACTCTTCACAACTTGTTTGTCCACAGGGGTGGATGAGGTCACCATCGTCAATATTTTGACCAACCGCAGCAATGAGCAGAGACAGGATATTGCCTTCGCCTACCAGAGAAGGACCAAAAAGGTACGGACAGTTTGGGAGGTTGGGGACACTCCTTACTGAATTTCTTTTTAATGTTATTTTTGCAGCCATTGCTTTTTTCTCTTCTTAAATTCTGGGTTGTACCAGCAAGAGCCTTCTGGAACCCTTGGGTACCCGAGGTTTCCCTTTCACATCCTTGTAGGAGTCACCACTTGCATACACGTGGCCCTGGAGTGCTCGGAGCCTTACACAAAGACCACACCCTCCTCCAATGGCGTGTGGAGGGAGCCGCTCTGGGAACAGAAGTTAGAAAGGAACAGAGAGTTCCTTTGCCACTCATTGAATGCCTGTGTGGTGCCAGGCATGTCGTTCTCCACATATAGCAGCAACTCCTTTCATCTCTGTGACTTCTGTGTGCTCCTGATAAGATGTTTTTAATTTATCTTTGGACACTAGCCTCCACCAGGTATTGATCCTGAGCCATTCCTCTTGTTTTTTAAAAACAACGCTTAAATTCTCGGAGCTTTGCCATGAACGGGCTCAGTGGTTCCTTTGGTCTCCCAGGCTATCTTCAGCATGCCATGTTCCCACTCTGGAAAGGGTCTTTGTGTGCTTTTTCTTCTTCATGTCCACTGGTGATTAAAGAATGACCCGGGCTTATTCATCTTTTATTTTGTCACAGCGTTAGGAAATTTTATTTTTAAGGATGGGCTGCTTTATTTTTAACTTCTTGCTATTAAAAGCTTTTGATTTATTCTGGGATGGTGCAGTAAGTGTGGTTTCCTGTGGCTCCTGTTTGACTTAGGGCTTTCACTCGTGGCCAAGTGGAGCTGAGCCGGGTGCATTCTGGGAGACGTGTCTGCCCTCAGGGTTGACATGACTATCAAGGGTTCCAGGAGTTGCAGGTCAAGCCCTGTTACCACTTTCCCCTTGCCCCTCGTCACCTCCTGAACCAGTCAGAAAAGACATACATAGGAAGATATCTGGCTTCTTTCGTTTCATTGTGCTTTAAAATTCTTCCAGTAGATGGATAGTGATCTTTAAAATAAAGATAGATCACTTTTGCAAACGGATAGTGATCTTTGTGTAAAGGCTCCAAAGGCATGAGGGGAGCGTATCATTTCTCCAGTTTCCCAACGGGATCTGCGAGCTGGAACTGAGTTTCGGTTGGCATAGAAGGCCCACATCTTTGGACAGTGTCACCCACAAGGTGGGGTCTTGGCGCACACCTAGGGGTGCATAGAGATACAGAAGCCTGAATCTCTATTTAATTAGATAGATAGAGAACCAAGCTCTCAGTGCCCTGCTGGAGGGAAGAGATTGCCAGAACCATGATGGGCTCAGTGGCCTCCCGGCTCTTCTGTGTGCTGGGGAGAGCTCGCTGTCCTGCTGCTGCCTGGTGCTCCTGGGCCCTGGGCTAAGAAGAATGCCCATCTTTACAGAAAGATGCGTAAACTGCTTGTCATTTCTTTGAAGGAGTCTTTTGCATAAGAAAGGAGAAAGCCTTGTAGTGCAGAGGACTTTAGGGCTATGGGGCTTTGAGGTGATGAACTGGAGCAGCATGGGCAGAACTGGTAGGGCTGGTGTTGTGTTGCTTTCACGTTCAAGCAGATCCAGATGCTGGGTTTCTCCGTAGAAGGAGAGATTATGTTTTATTTATCAGAAGTTTCTGGAGTTTCTGTTCTTGCAGAGCCTTGTGCTAGACATTAGGCGCAGAGGAAGCTGGACTTCAGCTCATAGGTGTTTATAATAGAAGCAGAGGACGTCAGTAGGAACACAGATGCTATTTGAGGTTTGAACAGAGAACAGGTAGAGAGAGGAGAGTGACGGGGGTAGGCTAAGTTTGGAATTACCTAACCTCAAAGTTCCAAGTTGGAAAATTGGTGCTATAATTGGGAGGTGTTGTTTTTAAAGTCCCCTCCTACGTGCCGTGTGTAACTAGGCCGGCGGGAAGCGGGAGAATGTTGCTGTTGGAAGGGGTGGGCCGGATCACTGCTAGGATGATCCATCTCCGTTCTCAACCTCTGTGAGTGACGTGAGAAGATTCTCTCATCACCTCTTAGCGCCCACAAGCACCTCTAGGGGCTGGTCAGTGTAGGGGCCATGGGTGCTGTTGGCAAGCAGGAGAGACAGGAAGAAGGGAGAGAAGAGGAGGGGAAAAGGGAAGAGGAGAAAATGATTAAAACAGCAGAGTGCGTTGTCCCCCAGTGCTCATAATTTGTAGGAAATGCAATCCCGAGGAAGCATCATCAAAGAGCAGCATTGAATTTTGGGGTATCAGTCTGCATCCGTGGGTGCCACCAACTCATGACTTAAAATCTGTGTTAATGTAATAGTGGAACCTTTGAGAAACAGCAGGCAGTGGGGAAGTCAGAGAGGTAATCAGGGCTAATTTAGTCTCCCTTGTCACTACCAACCCTTCCCAATGTGGCATGAAGAGACCGGCATTTTCTCGGTCTTGGGCAAAGTGTTTGCATAGGAAGGCTTCGTGAGCCCCTCCAGCCCCGGTCCCTTCTGCAGCCACCCTTGGCACAGCTGTACGAACACCTTTCACAGGATGGTATCCACAGGTCACAACATCCCTGCTCTCCACTCAAACCAGTTCCTTCTTAGCAGAGGCCACGTGCAGGTGTCTGGGAAACTGCCCTCGTCCCTTTCTGAGAAATTGAATCCTGCTCTGGTTTCCTTGTAATGTCTGGGCAGGAAGGCACCATCAGTTTGGATTTGAAGGGGTTTTGTCAGAGCAAGGTCTGATCCTTTGGTTTCTGACACCTGCATCTGTTGAAGGGCCTACAGCTGAGGGATAGTTTGATCCAAGACCCTGAGTAGTCACAGAATCACAACCTGCTTCCCAAGCACATCTCTCTTTTGTTTTCCTCAAGTTTTAAAGTGCATATTGGTTACCAACCAAGTTTTCCATGTTCTTGCTTGTTTTTTCCTGAAGGAACTTGCATCAGCACTCAAGTCAGCCTTGTCCGGCCACCTGGAGACCGTGATTCTGGGCCTCCTGAAAACACCTGCTCAGTACGATGCTTCCGAGCTGAAGGCTTCCATGAAGGTACGCACGTGTGGGACGCAATCTCAGCCGGCCGAGTCTGCCGTTAATATTTGTGAATTACAGCTTTCTGAGGATAAGTGGGTGATTTTCGGTTTTGTTGAATTCTCATTTGGAACCATCTTTTTTTTTGAATGAACTGAAGCGATAAGTCTTAAGATTTGTACCAAAAATATTCCAATTACTTTTTTTTTAAGCCTGTAAAGAAATTTTATGATGCTGAGAAGTCAGTTACCAGCTGCTACTGCTTGGCACCTGGGCAATTGAAATACCATTTGGAAAAACTACTTCCTTGATTACACTTCCTCCTTAGAAAAGAGTTGTTGTGATAGTGAGGCAAAAGTAAAACTCGGAGCTTTTGTTAAGTGGTGCTTGCATATTCTGCCCATGTTCTTGGGTGTTCCTTTCCCTGACCTCCTTGTGAACCCTTTTGTTTAATTCCAATTCGGGCAAAATCAGACCATCAGAGTATGCATATAAAGAGTGATTTCAGATTGTGAATGGTACCTGCCTCTTGTTCAAGCATTGTAGCACGTATTTCCTCTTGTTTTTCTTTTTGAAATTATTTTGAACATGGAATTTTAGTTTAAGTTAGAGCGTCAGAATTCCAGTTTGGAAACACCCTGTATTTTGTGTGCACCTAAAACATCAAGCAGTATACAAATGTAACAGATGCATACACATAAATGCATGTCCCAGCAAGGCACGAAACGAACCTTTCATAGTGTGTGGCTGCTCCACTTTGAGTAATCAGATACTGCCCTCTGCTGACAGACCTGGGGAAAGCCTCCGCCTTAGGGACAAAGCTATAGTTCTGATTTTTTTAATTCTAAGTCCGAGTGCGTTTTCTATGGTGTCACTGTTCCTGAACTCTGAGGAGTCCAAGCCTGTCATCAGCTCTGGTTGTCATCCCCATCAGTTCGGTTGTCATCCCTTTCCCCAGAGAGCCTCTCTCTAGGGAGACAGCTTCCCACACCAGGCATTCCAGGGTCCCAAACTCCATAGGTCGCTCCAGGCTGTTGAGAGATTTGTGGTGAGATCTTCCTTTCTTCTCTAGTTTATCTGAGCAGCCTTGCCCTGAGTTTCCTAAGTCGGCTAAATTGCAGGGGAGAGCTGATTAAGAATGATAAAAGTCAACCACAGGTCATGATCCCCCTTGATAAAAAGAACACTCCTGAAAACCAAGCCCGGGACCTTTGGAGCCATCAATGAACTGCCTCTCCTAGGTATCTTCTGACCATCATCACTGCACCTCCTGTATCTTATTTTCATCAGGAACTCATTAGTTGTGATTCATGCCGTTTCGCTAGTATCTATTACCAGGATTAGTGAAAGGAGACGGGCCTGTTTGTGCTGCCAGTCACTGTGGTAAACTGAGTGATTGGGCCCAATGAAAGGTGCTTTGACTTCGAAATCTTTGACCTGGTGCCAGCTCTCCCATTAGCCATCACAGCCGAGTACTCCTCTGAAATCCATAAGGCTTGAGTGACATCAGCTGAACCATGCTTTTGACAAAATTCTGTTTGACTTCTGGCGATACCAGTGGCACTATCTGCCATGTGTTACAGTAGATGTTACCCTTGTGATAGGAATTGTGGACAGTCTGGGGAAAGCTGGGCCCAGTTTTAGAAACTGCCAAGGTCACCTTTGAATATAGAGACAAAACCACTATTGGAATTTTCAGATGATAGCACTGGTCTCTCAGGGGTGGAGGAAAACAGAACCTCCAATGCCCGAGTTGTTTTTAAATGGAAAAACAGCCCTCTGCAATATTTGAAGGTGCTTGGTAGTCATTCTATAGCAGTTGTATAGAATGCTTTGTAGGCCCTTGGCTAAGAAGAAAAGAAATTTTGACTTTGTTGGAACCTCTGTGAGTTGTGATTAGAAACTCTGGAGGAAGAGGCATTGGCTCACAGATTAGATTTAAGAATAAAATTCAAAATTAATCATTAACCTGAGGCTTAGTTTATATTACACAAACCACTTTTTAGGGGCATATAAACTCTAATAAGTTTAATTAATAGTTGACATACTTTTCATGTGGATCAGGAAGTTTCTTATTGTAGTAACACCTTATAATTGATTTACATTTTAAACAGTTGTAATTCCACTTAGTTCAAAGTGATATTTCCATATTCAGAAAGACAAGTATTAGAGAGTCCTGATTATTAAATCTTGGCTTTGATCATGAAGCTAGCTTTGAAATACATGTTTCATTGCGTCCTTTCAAGCTATCTGGCACGCTCAAAAGTGTATATATTAAATTTGAATACATCACCCGGCAAATTCTTATTCCTTAATAAAATGTTGATGTCTAGGTTTATTTGGCACTTCATTATTTCCTTTTGCTTTTCCTAAAATGCCCGAAGAGTGCATAGTAATCGAGCAAAAATGGAAATACAAGAATGAAATTTTTAACATTAACCCAATTTTACATTTCAAAGAGGTGAAGCTAGAAATTTAATCTTATCTATACCTATCCTGGTTTAAAAAAAAAAAAAAAAAGACTTAATTTCAATCTGACGATGCTGGCTGGAAATGATAACATGACATCTCTGTATGCCTTTATTTTTAAATTACTGAGCAGAGTTTTTTAGTAAAGGAAGTTGTTTCCATCTATTAAAATAATGGGTGGTTATAGAAATCGAAAAAGAAGGGGAAAAATGGGAATAAGAAACAGTTACCCATTTTATAAACCCTTCGTCAAAAGGGTTGTAACATTTTGGTGTCTCCCCCCCATTCACTATAAAAATAGATTTAATATAGTTGAACTCAAATATGTCATACCATCTTATATTCAGGTGAAGCATTTTTTTTTTTTTAAGAATAGAAAATAACATTAGCTTGTGCTGATGAATAGAGTACAGATCCCTCAGTAGGATGCAGCAGGGAGCCTGTGAACAGATCTGGTCATGTCTGCAGTTTATCTGGTTGAAGTCAGAGAAAGCTAATGGCCCGAGGGACTTGCCTGCTGACATTTGTCCTGCCTGGTTCACAGGGGCTGGGCACTGATGAGGACTCTCTCATTGAGATCATCTGCTCCAGGACCAACCAGGAGCTGCAGGAAATTAACAGAGTCTACAAGGAAAGTGAGTAGCCCTGCTTCTGTAACACACCCTCTCAGCCCAGCTTCTCTGCCCCCATCATAGCTTCTCTGGGCCACTGCTCAGTACAGGAGGCCTGGTTACGGATGCAGAAATGCCTGCCCTTTGTCCAAGGGTTTGCTGTGGTCCAGGTCCCTCTCCTCCATCTCTTATGGCCCGGGTTTTTATTATTACCTTTCACTAGAACTTCTACAGGTCAGACAGGAGAGAAATCAAATCTATTGAAAAGGTCAAATGGGGCCCTAGCTCAGTGGTCAGCAACCTCATTAGTCAGCAGAGCCAAATATCAGCAGTTCAATGATTGAAATTTCTTTTGAGAGCCACATTTTTTAAACTTAAACTATATAGGTAGGTACATTATTATTAACTTAATTAGGGTAATCCTAAACTGGCCTTTGCTAAAAACTCAAGGGGCCAAAGAGCTGCATGTGGCTCCTGAGCTGCAATTAGCCAATCACTGCTCTAGCTGGTTTGGCTCAGTGGATAGAGCATCAGCCTTCAGACTGAAAATGTCCTGGGTTCGATTCTGGTCAAGGGCATGAACCTTGGTTTTGGGCACATCCCCAGTAGGGAGTGTGCAGGAGGCAGCTGATTGATATTTTTCTCTCATTGATGTTTCTGACTCTCTATCCCTCTCCCTTCCTCTCTGTAAAAAATCAATAAAATATATTAAAAAGAAAAAAAGAAAAGAAAAGGTCAGATGAGGAGAAGTGGAAGGTATACATGGTTTTCATCTATTGGGTGCCGTCCAGCCTCCGCTCAAGGGGTTCCCATCTGTGGACCCGGAGATTGTTGTGAGAGGCAGGGGGACCTGTGTGCACGGAGCAGTAGAGGAGGCGGTGGGTAGGATAAATCATGCAGCTTACTTCAATTTTTTTTTATGCTCAGAATGAGTATTCCTAGTCAAGGAGTGTGGGAACCAATATTTCAGTTACAGAAGGGGTCACTGATCAAAGGTGAGCTTGAGCGTGATCTGATCTATGGTCCAGCTCGTTCTGCTCCTGGTTCCTGATAAGAACGAACGCTGGCTCTGGTTTGATGAGGGTTCAGTTCATTCTGGGAAACGCGCTTACCTTTGGGCAGGGACAGCCGTGCTGCACCAGGCGTTTCTGCTTCTCAGAGGCTCTGTGGGCAGGGGTTGGTGGAGTGGCTGGCTGGCTGCACAGGCAGGAAGCATAACCCACATGTGTTGCTTTCCAAGTGTACAAGACTGACCTGGAGAAGGACATCATTTCCGACACATCTGGCGACTTCCGCAAGCTGATGGTCGCCCTCGCGAAGGTTGGTTTCCGGTTTATTTCTTTGTCTTTGCTTTGTCCTAAGGCAAGTCCCATACCTCGTTTTATACTTGAGAGTGAATTCACTCAATCCTCTGTGCCAGCATCAGAAATGGCATCTGCATTTCCTTCCGACGGTGGGTTTGCCCTGTCCCTGCAGAGCTGTCATTTTTGTGTAATGGGATTTTTTTACTTAGCAAAATGGCGATGCCAGGTGGACTTGTGGGCCAGAGGAGGCGGGGGTGGGGGTGAGGGGGCTCTCACATCCTGGCCTGGACTTAGGTGCCAGCTCTTGTGACATAAGGAAGGTTGCTTTGCTTCTCTGTGGTCACCTAGGACACAGTGGAAGTGATCCTGTTCCTTTCACCTGCTCTCACTGCTGATGAGGATTTGCCTGTGTAGTCTTCTGCCCGGGGAGGGGAGGGGAGAGGAGGAGAGGGAGGCCTTAGCTTGTCTGCTGATGTTAGCACATTCATGAGGGTGAAAGGCATTTTCTTTCTGAATCTGAGTTCTGACCAGTGTGAAGCTTAAAGCCTACGAACCAGGGAGGGAAGAGAAATTCCTTTCTCCAGGAACTGATGACAAGTGACCGATTGGGTGCTGCCTCCTGCCCACTGGCATCTCTGCAGGGGCAGCTCCGAGCTGCCTCCCCTCCTCGGCTTCCCCACCTCCCCACCCCCTTCCCCTGCCTGCCGCATTCCACTGGTCTCTTTTGCAATTCATTTCCACCATTTTATCCCCCTGATCAAAAACCACTTCAGCTGCATCCAATCCAGGCATGGTTTTCTGCTTTTTGAAAAAGTCCTCTGTGCGCTGGTTCTCCCGACTTGATCTTCCTGGGATTCCCTCCTCTCCCCTGCTCCGGCCAGGCATGTCCTATCACCTCCCTCCCCTGAGCTGCGGGGGTCTCAGCCTTCCATGCTGTTGCTGCCGTCTGGAGGGCTTTCTCCCCTGCCCTTCACTAGCCCGGCTGACATCCTTCCAGGCTCCTCTCCACCGTCCCCACAGTCCGCAGACCTTGCTGGCTCTGCTCTCTGACAGACTTCTCTCTCACTTGCATTTTACGTCTTAGAGCCATAGATTGCTGCGCCTTCCCACAGGGGCTGTGCTTGTTCTCCACCGGGACTGTATGCTGCCTGAGGGGAGAAACTCAATATTATTAGCTTCTTTTTCTTTTCGGAGTGGGGATATCCTGTAAGGGGCTTAGCCCACGACTGCATACCCCCGCTCCACTTCCTCAACTATTTTATTGATCCTTGGTCTGGTCTAGACTTCAAAGTGAAGGAAAAAAAATTTAAGTGGGTATTTGTTCAGTGAATTAAATAATGGCTTACATGACTTAGAGAGAAAAACAGCATTACAACGTGCAAAGGAATGCGCCTGATGTTGTTCACTTTTCCTCTGTAGGGCAGAAGAGCAGAGGACGGCTCTGTCATCGATTACGAGCTGATTGACCAGGATGCCCGGGTAGGTGCCAGGGTGCTGCTGTGGGTTTCCGCTTCCTAGGAAGCCTCTGGAGAGTTTGTGTAGAAACTATCTGTGCTGGGTCACAGGTGACCTCCAAACAGAGCGGCTTAAAACTGTAACCATGTATTACCTTTACTTATTTATATTTATTACCTTTATTATGTATTTCTGTGGGTCAGGAATTAGGGAGTGGCCTGGCTCAGGGTCACACCAAATGTTGACCAGGGCTGCTGGCACCTGAGGGCCACCCACAGGACTGTTGGCAGAGGCCTTGCATCTCTCCACATGGACTCTGCATGGCTGCTTGAGTGTCCTCACAACATGGCCGCCAGCTCTCCCTGATTGCGTGGTCATGGGAGAAGCAAGGAGGAAGCCACAGGCTCTATGACCTCATTTCGGGAGTCACACAGTCTCTTCTGTCCTGCTCTGTTCACATGTCACCGTGTCCGGACCACAGTCCAAGGGAGGGAAAAGGAAGTAGCCGCCTTGTGGGAAGGGAGGAATGTCAGAGAGTCTGTGGGCTTCATTGGCACTTCCTGGGAGCACTGGTTATCATTACCACTGCTGGTGGTAATGACAGGATCCATACCCAACTCACATGATAGTTTAGGCTTTGCTGATTCCCATCATCTGAGCTGTGTGCCTTTCCCAAGGGTCAACAGCTACCTCAGAACTTTCAGAAGGGCTGCAGAAGGAAACTCATTTAGATTCATTTTAGTTTTTAAGTTTCAATATATTTTGCACTGTGCTTTTAGCAAGTGGTAGAGAAGGTTTTAAAATAAAGTAATAAATAGAAGGAGGGTTTTGCAACTTCCGGATAATTGATGGTCATGGATGAGTATCAACCCTTGCATACACCTCTCCCCCACCCTCTCCACCATTGTTAGTGTTATTTATAAATTTAGTGTTATTTTTAAATTTTCCAGAAACTGAAGATTAGGTTGGCCTGGCTCCTTTCTCAGCTCCGTCATTTCCCGAGTCTCTAAGAAGCTCGGTATTTGGCCACTAGCATACTTGCTGTTACAGTGCCAACAAGGAAGGAGGGCCGGATGTGCTAGTGAATGCTTGCGTGTCCTTTTCTGTGTGCATAGAAGCTCCCAGTCCTTCCAGTGTCCAAGGAAGGAGATTTGAGGCCTCATGAGCAATCTGGTCTCATGGCGATCTGTCTGTGTCTAAGGAAACCTGCTCTTGATGAAAACATGCGCCCTTCCAAAATTTCCCCCGCACCTATAGCGCTGCCGTCCTTTCTCATTTGGTGTTTTGAATGTGTAGGTTTTGGTGTTTTTGAATGACATTTTCATGGTCTGGCTGTGCTTGTAGGATCTCTATGACGCCGGAGTGAAGAGGAAAGGAACTGACGTTCCCAAGTGGATCAGCATCATGACCGAGCGCAGTGTGTTCCACCTCCAGAAAGGTGGGTGCCGTGCGCTCCTGGAGCCCCCAGTGTCGGTGTTGGGGCTCCCATCTGAGCCCACTCTCCACATCGCACCCCCTGTTTCCCTCACCAGGCCTATTTGCCCTCTCCCACCGTGGGTCCTTGCTTCCCCTAAGTAGCTCCCATGGGTTGGTGCTTTAGCTTGCTGCCCCTTCCTGTCTGAGGATCCTTCTGTTTTGCTATATGTGTTGAAGTCATGGACCCTGCTGGGTGCTGTGTATCACTTCTTGTGGCTTCCAGATAGAACGGGTTCCACTCGGATGAGATGGAGATGTTCACACATGGCCCGGGCTGTGCCATTCAGGCCAAGTGCACGGGACAGCTGCCCCAGGGCAACTGGTACCATGTCAGCTCTGGGTACCATGGCAACCCCTTAGTCATTAGGATGCTGTGATTGTCCTTTTTTTTTTTTTTCAAATGTGGTATATAACGTTGTGGGTGATCATTGACAGCTTTGACTGGAGGCTCCATTTTAGTAATTACTTGTTGCTTTTCCTTAGTATTTGACAGGTACAAGAGCTACAGCCCTTATGACATGTTGGAGAGCATCAAGAAGGAGGTCAAGGGAGACCTGGAAAATGCTTTCCTCAACCTGGGTAAGTGTGGTCCCTCATCCCCGGCGGACGTCTGCCCTCGGTAAACTGACAAAAAAGTAACCAGAGAAAGGGCTCTGTGGGAGACATTCTCATTGTCCCCGGTTCTGTGCCCTCGGAGTCCCCAGTGTTCAGCCTCAGGGAACTGAGTGCCGTGCAGGGTCCCTGGTGTTCTCTCAGACCTTCCTGTTTTGCAGCCCATTCAGGTCATCTGGTGTGTGCCTAGCTCAGAGCCTCATTCCCACTGGTGCATAGAGGAGTAACTGACCCCTTTGCTTCTCCCCACAGTCCAGTGTATCCAGAACAAGCCCCTGTATTTTGCTGACCGACTGTACGACTCCATGAAGGTAAGGGCAGCCGGCTGAGAGGTCTAGGTTTCCACACTAGGCTCTTCTTTCATATCCCCAAACTAAGTCCACACACAGAGGAAGGAGCCCCGAGGTCTAGGTGCAGGGTGCACCAGCCAGCTGTGGCTGTATTCGACAGGTGAGGAAGCCACAGAGCCATCTCACTTTCCCGACCACTGGAGCACATGTTTGTGTATGGGTAGAAAACAAAGCGCCTGGGAGAGAGAAAGCCAGGGAAGGTTGCACCTGACTCCTGCTCAGGTTTCTCAGTGATTCCCTCCTGTTATCTCTGAGAGAAGACTAGCAAGGGAGAGAGAGACTGTGAAGCAGCTATGATATAGTATAGACATTGTGAACTTAAATAATTACCGAAGAACCTGAGGCTTAGTGTTTTGTTGTTATTACTTTCTTTTTTGGTGAGGAGGTTGGAGCTCAGAAAGCTTCAGCTTGTTTGAGGTCCCATAGCCATATTGGAACCCGGGTCTATAGACTCAAAGCCAGCCCAGCCACTGTCCTTTGAATGAAGCATCTCTTCCCACAATCCCATCCCATTTTCCATGCCTCACATGTGCCCGGGACTTTATATCTTCCAGGCCAGCCCACATCCTCCTGGGTCACCCCCTTGTCCACACTGCCTCTCCCATCTCTCCTCAGACTCATGTAAAATATGATCCTTACCTTGGCACCCATGGTCTGAGGCTCTGCAGGTAAACTCAGTGGTCTTTCTGTTCATGCCATGCACGCTGGCACAGGGCCACGAGGGATACGTGACAGTGTGGCCTCTCCGAGCTCCGGAGAGCTGGGACCTATTTGTTACATGTGCAAACCTGCACACTCATTGAACCAAGCTTTGCAGTGCTTAGGGCTCAGCCCATGCTCAGTGAATGCACATGTGGGAGTCTGTGCAGATGTCACCCTGCTGTGTTTTATGCTCATTTTCTCTTCAGGGAATAGTCACACTGTTCTATTTGTGATCTCTTAGTAAGCAGAATCCAGATCACTTCTAGCAAGAAAACGTGCTCAGTCGGTTTGTGATTAACATTGCTTTTAATGAATTGTAACTTGGAACATCACCTTGGCTTTCAGGGCAAGGGGACACGTGACAAGGTCCTGATCAGAATCATGATCTCCCGCAGTGAAGTGGACATGTTGAAGATCAGGTCTGAATTCAAGAGAAAGTACGGCAAGTCCCTGTACTATTACATCCAGGTGAGCCCACGCTGCCACATCACCTGCACTGCCATTGAGGGGCCCGGGCCCGGGGAAGGGTCTGTTTTCTCTAAATCACTGGGGAAGAGATAGTCACCAAATACCAGGGGTTTATTTTGAAAGTGTGATTTGTCCTGGAATCCTATAGAACAGGCAAATGTTTTCCGTTTCCCACCTGAGTTATTCCACAATGATAATTGGTGTTCCTGATGATGACCCCTTAAGAGCTGCTGACAGCCTCAAGAAATTTAGACTGATTACATTTTACATTAATTGTATTTCCATTTCTTGGAAAATCCTCTATGATTGGCCCAGAATGCCCATCTCACCCAGTTTAGTCTATGTTTTGGAGAGAGGGAGAATTCATGTGTAACCAGCAATGGCCTTTCGACCAGTCCACTGTGTGTAGTTCAGACAGGCATTGCAATCCCTTTTTATAAAAGATCCTAACGTTTCCTAAGGCATGTCAGTGGTTACAAGGATGAATTTAGAAGTGGGTTGGATGTGCCCAGGCTTATTAGGGCATCTTGTAAAGTGTAGGCCCCAATTAGACTCGGAGTCATTGTTTCTTCACCTCACCAACGTATTTCCGTGTGACCTTAAGTTTAGGAAACAGCACTGAGGCAGGCAAGGATGCCGCCTTCTCTGGAAGGGGAGGACCAGGGAGAAAATGGTGGTGTTGGCAGGACCTCAGGGCAGTTAGAGCGGTCACTTAGCATATGAGTCCCCAGTCCCTCGCATTTACTCCTCCCTTGTGGTAATAATGTGACTTGAAAGTCGCCCTGAGGCCACACTCCCTGAAGGTTCTCTGATGGTGGTGGTGGTGATGATGATGGTGGTGATGGTAGTGGTGGTGGTGATGATGATGATGGTTTGGGTGTGGCATTCTGGGCCTTTGTATCTAGACAGGTCCTGCAGAGTTTTCTCTGTTAATTTGGGAGAAGCTCTGTGTGCAGTGGCTCTGCCTGTATGTTATGACAAATTTTGGATCTTCTTTTTAATACTGAATTTCCTTTTTCTCTTTGACCATTTGCAGCAAGACACCAAGGGTGACTACCAGAAAGCACTGCTGTATCTGTGTGGTGGGGATGACTGAGCCCACAGCTGCCCGAGCGTCCAGGAGTGGTGCTCCTATGCTTCCAGCTAATACTTCTAGGAAACCTGCCTGTGACTAGTGCCCATCCCTTGACCATCCCTGTGCCCATCCCTGTGAGGATGCTGTTAGCATTGCTTCTGCCTCACCTTATCTCAGTTGCCTAAGCATTTCCGGGCTTTCCCATCTAGTCTCTCATTTTAGCCAAAGAAATGAACATTCCAAGAGTTGGAAGTGAAATCTATGATGTGAAACACTTTGCCTCTTGTGTACTGTGTCCTAAACAGATGAATAAACTGAATTTTTACTTTAGAACCAATCACTTTGTTGACCTTGCTTTTATTTAAATTGTTTAAAAATCAAATATCCCTGAGGGCCATATGATTCAGCTTGTAAGCCTGTCCCTAGAGGATGAACCCTCTAGAGCTGAGCAGTCTGATACGATGGCCACTATACAGATGTGACTAATGAAATAAAACAAAATGAAAGAGAACAAATTCATGTCCTCAGTCATGTCAGCCACATTTCAGATGTTCAGTACCACATGTGGTGAGCTGCTAGTGGCTGCACTGCACAGGGAGAGAACATGCTCATCCTATATAATAAAAGGCTAATATGCAAATTGATTGAATGGTGGAAAGACCAGTCACTATGATATGTAATGACCACCAGGGGCAGATGCTCAATGCAAGAGTTGTCTTCTGGCAGTCAGTGTGCTCCCACACAGGGAGTGCTGCGCAGCTGGAAGCCAGACTCACCACTGGTAAGGATATCCAACTGATGGCTTAGGGGTGCAGGCCTAAGCAGTCAGTTGGACATTCTCTGAGGGCTCCTGGACTACAAGAGGGCATAGGCTGTGCTGAGGGACACCCCTGTCCCCGCTGAGTGCATGAATTTCACGCCTCGGGCCTCTAGTTATAATAGAAAGTTATACTGGCCATCTCTCCATGCCCAGGAGATGTCGCTGCCTATAGGGGAGTAACCTAGAGTTACCCCTCTTCTCATCTTTCTGCAGCTAAATAAGGTGAAAATAAGCATCAGTGGTGGCCTCAAACTAGGAAGAGGAGAGGGGTCGGTGAGTTCTGTTTAGCAAATATTGTTTAAGCCTTAGATTTATAGAAATAAATAACACCCTGCCCCAACCCCCCAGACCACCTTCAGTGAGCCAGGGCACAGCATTCTTGTAAAGGACGTTAACAGAAGTTTCCGGATCAGGACCACAAAAGTGATTGCTTTTGGCTAGGAAGGAAGATGACCCAGAGGGGAAGGGAACATTTGAGCTGTGCCCTGGAGTCTAAGGTTGAAGTTTTATAGCTGGGAGGGAGCTCTCCACACAGTCTTAGGATTCTGATAATGGAGAAAAGGCAATTCATACAACTGGTATGCATTTCAAAAGATACAAAAGATTACATACAGTGAAAATTATGTCTCCCTCTCTCTCCTATCAGCCAGGGGCCTTCCGTAGCCAAATGGTTTATTGTCCTTGCATGAATAGACTGTACAACAAGTATATGTCTATTACTTATGTATCTGTTTATAATGTAAAGGTGGTGCTCATAGGCTTGCCAGCCTAGGACAGGGCTTATACAGGCACTGCAGACAGCTTGTTTATACTTCCCCTGAAGCAGGGTGTATGGCTGGATGTGGGTGCGAGGAGAGGGGGGAGACAGTGGGGGCTAGTTGAATTGCCCATCCCACACCCTTAACACTGCATTCTCTCCTCACTAGAGGGTGCTGTATCAACCACTAATTCTTGACACCTGCTGATCCTGGGTGAGAATCGGTGACTCTAGACCCTGAGCAGTTCACCTGTACCTTTCTTGGCAAATTCCAATAAATTCTAGGGCAAATTCTGTAGTCTGCAGGGGCTGGCAGGTAATACAAATACATGTGTGAAATGGGCTGGCTGGGCAGAACTAAGAAGTCTGGAGAAATGGAAGATGTCTACCCCACTTCAAACATTCAAATTCAATTAAAAACAATATCGTGTTGACCAAACATAACTGTGAGCTGATTGACTTGCTATTTTGATCCTGTGGCAAACTGTAGATGGGAACTCTGGGGGAGCTTAAGCCACTAGTGGCCCATAGGGTCTAAGCCAGTGATCGGCAAACTCATTAGTCAATGGAGCCAAATATCAACAGTACAATGATTGAAATTTCTTTTGAGAGCCAATTTTTTTTAAACTTAAACTTCTAATGCTACTTCTTCAAAATAGACTCGCCCAGGCTGTGGTATTTTGTGGGAGAGCCACACTCAAGGGGCCAAAGAGCCGCATGTGGCTCGTGAGCCGCAGTTTGCTTACTACGACTCTAAGTCCATTGAGCTAATCTTTAAAAAGCAGATTATGGGGGGAAAAAATGATGTTTTCTCAAATGTACCCCCCTATGCATATTAGAATTGATGCCTCAAATCCCAAAATGTACTTTTCCATGTGTGGGGGGCAGAGTTCAAGGAACTGTGTAAAAACGAAGACCTTTCTATTTAACCCTGAATTGTTGAATCGAACTCAGCTTTGCTAGGGCTGGGCAGGGGCTGTCAGGAGCTGTGTTTCAGATCAGGGAGGATCTAGGCTGTTTCCTCCCACCATGCAGTGTGTTTCAGGCGGCAGAGGCAGGTGGCAGAGAAGGCAGAGCTATATGGTCGGTGTGAGGCAGGCTTCTGCTCTGCCGGCCCAGCACAGCTGGTCTGGCTGATCTGGACCCTCCAGCAGGCATGAGGCAAAATCCAAAAGGCAGGCTGGCCCGAGAGAGGCTCCTGGAGAACCATTCCCAATGTTTGCCTGCTGTCCCTCGGTGCAGAGCAATGGTTATTTGGTGTTTTCCAAAACTGGCAGAAAGGGCACCTGCAATTTGGTCTCCTACTCTCCTGGATTCCAGCCAATCTTCCTCAGTCAAGCTGTCAAAACCTTTCCTTAAAGAACCATCTGAAGGTTTGAGTGTTCTCCCAAACAATTTTACTTCAGAAAGGAATGGGGACACACATTTTGTCCGCTAATAAACTGTGATTTTATTCTTTGAGGAGGTAGGTAGGCAATGCATGCAGTACAGCCATGAAAGTTTACTGAACATGACTGAACAAGAGGATCCACCTCCACCCCTCTCCCTGGCCCCCAGCCATCAGTGTGGTGGTGCTGGGCGGGGCTGCCACCTTGCACTAATTCCAAATGGTCCCCTCCACACTGTGGCCTCTGGGAATGGTGTCTCCCCTGGAGTTGGACAGTGCACAACCTGAGCAACCACGCATGAGGGCCCTTAGGTTGACCCTATGTGTGTGAGAGATTGCCTGTGAGACATTTTGTCACAGAATAGGCTTCTAGATGGAAGACAAATCTTACTTGGGAACAGATGGATAAACCTCACAAGGCCTCATCTTTTTCATGGACTGATGATCTTTGGGCCCATTTTTGGGGGCTATGCACAAATGACGATGCGTAGAAGTCTCCCCAGTATGCAGAGCTCCCGTGGCATAAACTATTAGTGAAGATAGCTAAGGCAGGGGAAGCCAGGTTCACAAAGTAGCTACATTTAGCAAGAAAAATGACTTGAGGACAGAAATCTTTTAAATCAATTTTTAGTGTTTAAATGACTCCAGGCCTCTCCCCGCGTTTTGACAAACGGCTTTGGCTTCCCATCCACATCCGTTTATTTGACCTCCTTTTTCCATCAGCTACCAAAATGAAAGCTCTGCTGCGGGAGAGAGAGGGAGCAATTTTAAACATCTCATAGCAATGAGGCAGAACATGCTATAGCCATCAAGTTTTAGTTGTTCATTCTATTTATTGAAGAAAGCCTGTAGCCTGATTTCTTTTATGCGAGTACATTTGAGCAAGCAAAGTTTATAGAGATGACTTATCTCATTACATTAGAAGAGTGATTTGCTATCTCAGCATCTATAAGCAATTTTAACAGACATTTCTGGATGAAGAAAAGCTTTTGTAAATATATGCGAAAGACACAATTTCATCAAGCATTAAATTGGAGGTGCCCTGGAAAAAAAATATTACATTTGTGCATTCAATTAGCTTGATTGTGGCTGAATTTTGTCCATGGAAGACAGCATTTCTGCAGAAAAACAGAAGCATTCCCTATGTCAGCAGGTTTTCGAAAACAGAAAAGCACACTTTCCCCCTTTGCAAGTCCTCTTTTGCATTTTTGCTGTTCCCAGCTCTGCGTCCCTAATCAGGCTGCTCAGTCTTGTTCTCCACAGAGGAGGGTAAGGGGAGAGTGAACCAGGAGCCACTTTATTTAGGCCTTACGGAAATCCAAACCCAGCAATTTCAACTTTAAATAGCCCGTGTTTGGTGTAAAAGCTAGGTGAGCCCTGAGCAAAATTGGAACTGAGGAAATGGAGAATGGTTGGGGCATAAGAGAGCTTTCTTGGACCCCTAAAATCACCATAAAGAAATGAACCTGTCCTAACCCTTTTGGCTCAGTGGGTAGGGCGTCAGCCTGTGGACGCAAGGGTCCCAGGTTCGATTCTGGTCAAGGGCATGTACCTTGGTTGCGGGCACATACCCAGTGGGGAGTGTGCAGGAGACAGCTGATCCATGTCTCTCTCATCAATGTTTCTAGCTCTCTATCCCTCTCCCTTCCTCTCTGTAAAAAAAATCAATAAAATATTTTTTTAAAAAAGAAATGAGCTAATTCTTTTAGGATAATCACCACCCTACCCATCTCCTCCACTTTCTGTTCTATATAGTTGAACCATCAGCTTTCTTTTAGGCAATGAACCAGAAAAGACATATGTCAATAGAACCTGGCTGCCTCCTGCATGCCCCCTACTGGTGGGGGTGGGGGTGGGGGTGGGGGAGTCAAGCACACAACCCAGTCATGTTTCCTTGGCTGAAATCGAACCTGGGACCCTTTAGTCCACAGGCCAATGCTCTACCCACTGAGCAAACTGTCTGGGGCTGTTATTTTTAAACACTAGGTGAGGACAAATCAGGACTTCCCCAGCTATAATCCATTGTAGCCCAAAGCTATCATTTCTAAAGATTAATT